GCTGCTGTTGCCCTCTTACTGCTGTTCTCATTGTTTAGCTCAAGGAAAATCACAAGGACGTTTGTTTCATGTTCTGATGCTGTTAATACTGTCCATGTACCTACTGCCTTAATACATCACGGTCTATAGATTATCCAAGAAAATTACATCCGTTGCTTCTATTTTTTCCTACTATGTTGGCCTAGAAACAGAAGGTCAAAGACCTAAGGGGACACGGAGACAGCCAAGTTTACAGTGACAATCTCAGAGAGACCAGACCTCTGACTTTTTAGGGCCTAGAGTGGAGGAATGATTTATTTGTTTTTTTAAAGATGTACTTATTTCTGCATACAAAAACTGGGGTACAGGCCAGAGGTGCAGGGGTCTGAGGATTCACCAGAGACAGAATGAGGAGCAAAATAGGTGGGTTGGCTGAAACCCACTGCTGAGGGGGCAGCGGGGGCTCAGGAGCGGTCTGCTGCGCCCTGGCGCCTCCCTCATCGGGGATCGAACATGTGGCAGTGGCTGCAGATGCCTCACAGTGCTGCTCTTGAACCCTTGCACCACCAGGGCATAAATAAATACATCTTTATGCATAAATAAATACATCTTTTAAAAAAATAAAAATAAGTCATTTCTCCACTTCTAGGCCCTAAAAAGTGAGAGCTCTGGTCTCTCTGAGATTGTCACTGTAAACTTGGCTGTCTCCTATAAAATGGGGCACGGAGTGTGTCTCCGTGTCCCCTTAGGTCTTTGACCTCTGTTTCTAGGCCAACATAGTAGGAAAAAATAGAACAATTTAGAGAGAGATGGTCATGATGGAGGCCAGTGTTGTTGTTCCTATACAAAATGGGGATGCAGAGGTAAGTGGTGGCAGTGAGCCCTTGTGATTTTCTTGTGTCCATTAGCCTGTGTGTAGATGGGGATTTTTTAAAATCAGTTGATAGAGACAGAAGCCAGCTCAAGCCAGCCTCGCCATAATGGGGAATTATTGGGTCATAAAACTCATGTTCAAAGATGAGTACGGCTTCAGCTTGGCTAAGTTGAGGACCTCAAACCAGTCCCTCTGGGTTCTATCTCTCAGCTGTTTTCTTCACTGTTGGCTTCATTTCCTACGCAGACCTTGTGGCTCCAGCCCTGCAGCCCAGGAGGAAGAGCTCCCTGGGAGTTGCAGTAACAGCTGAGGCACCAGTCACTGATGGGCTGGGCCACGTGTCCAGTCAGAGCCAGGGTATAGTTCTCGAAGGGAGTCATTTGGTGCTGTTGACAGAAAATGGTATCTGAGGTAGGCAAAATAATAGCTGTTGGCCCTCCCTGGTGGCACAACAGGTTAGAGTGCAGCACTGCGAAGCTAGCCACAGCTGCTGCAGTGAGAGTTCGCTCCCCGGCCAGGGAGTGACCCACAGGGCGCAGCAGACCCCTCCAGTCTCCCCGCTGCTCCCCTCAGCAGTGTGCTTTGTCAGTCTGTCTGTTTTGCTCCCCACTGTGTCTCTGGTGAATCCTCTCACACCCCTGCACCTCTGACCTGTGCCCCAGTTCTGTATGTGTAAATAAATCTTTAAAATACAATATCTACAATATCTTGGTTGCTGGAACACTCCAGTTAAAGCAGGATTTCAATCTGTAGGATGCAAGGTAAGGGCATTTACATTGTAAGGAACTGTGCTTGGTACTAGATTAGATACAGATCATGATTTCTGCTCTTACTGAACTTTTTTTTTTTTTAAGATTTATTTATGCATACAAGAGCTGGGGTGCAGGCTAGAGGTGGGGGGGCGGGGTGAGAAAATTCCCCAGAGATACAGTGGGGAGCAGAATAGGCAGATCTACTGAAACCCACTGCTGAGGGGAGCAGCGGGCGGCTCAGGAGAGGTCTGCTGCGCCCTGGGGGTCCCTCCCTGGTGGGGATCAAACTGGTGCTGCAGTGGCTGTGACAGCTTCACAGCGCTGCGCTGTGACCCCTGCGCCATCACAGGGCCCTGGTGGCCTCCCTTGTCCTTATAATGCTCTGTGCTTATTGTAATGGACCATTCGTCACTTCATAGCTTAAGACACTTTATATCACATCGTCTTGCTTTAGAATTTAGTCTTGAGTCAGCCTTTTTCCTCTCCCAACAGCTGGCACAGAATAGGTTTCCAGATTTGTTGGGCACATAAAATGAATCGATCTTGGCTGTGCGTTCAAGGTGTAGGCTTCTGAGCTGGCCTCATTTTGCTCTGTCTGTTCCAGGACCTGGGTTTCAGTGATGAGACATGGGGTATGATGTAACCCGCTTCCAGGGGGATGTTGACGAAGACCTTATCTGTCCTATTTGCAGTGGAGTCTTGGAGGAGCCGGTCCAGGTGAGTCGGGTTGATGCAGGTGTGGTAAGGCAGTGGACGGCGGTGCAGCCCCGCTCCCAGGGGGACTCCCTCTGGCTCCCTCCCCGGCGCCAGTGCAGAAGGGCAGTGGTGGCTGCAGCAGGAATTGGGCCTCCAGGGTCCACGGAGAAGTCGAGGCCGCAGACGTCCAGGATTCAGTTTTCTCCTGCAGCCTCTCAGACTCCGCCTTCGACTGGCCAGCTGGCTCTGTCCCTTGGAGGTGGCCTGGTCGCGTCTCTTCTCCAAGGGACACCAACTACGTTCTGTCTCCACCTGCAGTTGTCCTGTGGACTCTCCTGATAAAGTGCCCCTGCCTCTTGATGAGTTAGTGTTTTGGGTAACCAGAGCGTCTCCTGTCGGCCTCTCCTTCCTGTCCACTGTTGTCCAGCGATTGTAGGCAGTGAAGTGAGGCCCTGTGCTGACCTACTTTCTGCTTGGGATTTATGGAAAAACCAGTTTTTGATGCAGCCAGGAACTCTGCGCTTTGACACAAAGGCTGCTCCCCTTAGTCATGTCTCTACCAGAGACTTGATCTGTGGGGGCGAGTCAGAGGAAGCTTCGGATTACCAGGAGTCTGGGTGAAGGGAGTCTTAACAGCTGTTGCCTTGGGCCATCACCCTGCGGCGTGCTTACTGCCCCAGCGCTGTAAGTACCCGTGAATCCCTGCGCCCTGGCTGGCTAGAGAGAATCGCGGTTCCAAACCAGGACCTGGTCAGTGAAGCTCCGCCCCTTCCCTGCTCCTACTTAGTTTACACTCTGCTCCCCACCCCACGATCCTCTGAGCTTATTTCCCACCCTCCGGTCTTCAGCCACCCAAAGGAGCACAGACTGAACCAGGTGAGCATCAGGCTGGGTTCCGATGACAGCCAGGCCTGGACCTGGCCCCCTGTCTGGGCCTCGCAGCTTGTTGCTGTGGGAGGCCCCGACCCAAGGAGGGGGCCTCTGCTGAGGAGAGACCTCCCCAGAGAGCGGTGGCCGTCACTCACCGGGCGGGCCTCATTAGCACCCGGCCAAGGCGACCCGTGCCGGAGATGGGTCTCTGAAGAGCCCTGGGAGGAGCTCTTCAGGGGGTGGCCCACGAGACCAGGGCAGGGGACGCCCTGGCGGCGCCCAGCCCTGGCGGCGCAGACGCCGCACCCCAGCCGCGCGTGCGTGCGGGCACGCCTGCCCTGGTCCTCGCCCTCTGGGAGTTGCAGAGCGTCGGCAGGCGGTATCTAGCGCCCTGGCAGGGCACCCCGTAGTGGGAGTTAGGGCGCTGGGTGTCCGGGCAGGGCTCCCCAGTCCGATTTCGTTCACTTGCTCAAACAGGGCTTGTAGCAACTGCCGACTTGAATGTTCTATCTGGGCAGACTGGCTGGGCCCGGGCCGAGCTGCCTCGGTGTCGGCCCCTCCGTGGGGTCCTGGCAAGGTCTTGCCCGTCTTCTGTCACTGTCATTGGAGGTGAGTCACGTGCAGGCAGGTCAGCTGCAGTCGGTGACTGTGTGTGAATGAAGCAATCCCCCGCCTCCAGGGTTTGCCTCTGGGGAGCAGCCAGACGCACTTGGTGATGCCAGACACCAGTTTCCAAAGGGAGCAGGCCCCTCCCTGCGGGCACGCGAGGCCTGTGTCTGTTTAGATAGCACGGCCACTGGCAGTAAGCGAGACAGTGTAAAAGGCGTACGGGGAGCTCTTCTCGTCGTCCCCGAATCCTCCCGTGGAGAGCTGTTTGTAATGGTTTGTTAGTACGTTAGCACCCTCCCGTGGGGAGGGCCCACAGATACAAGTATGAGTGTCCGTGTACATGAACCCACGAAAGGTAGCTCCTGCCCTAAGTCTCGGGCGTCTTCCACTGAAGGGTGTATTAGTGACCACAATATGCCACACATTATTTAAAAATACCTGTTTACGTGCCCTGCTAATCAAGAGCATCTCCTCGTACGTGCCCCAGGCAAGTCTAGGTAGGGCAGTTGTGAAAAAACTATGACGCTGTTTCTGAGATCTGAATGATAAGGGGTGCTTCCTGCCAAGACTTAGAGGAAGAGACTTCAGGCACAGGGTGCTGCAGAAGCAAGAATGAGTCGGGTGTGGAAAAGCACTGGAGGCCAGTCAGCTCGGCTGACTGTGGGCAGCGCGTGGTGTGGAGAGAAGTCAGAGACACAGGACTTCATCAGCCAGCAGAGTTTTATAGGTCCTGGATAGGAGCTTGAATTTAGTTTAAGTGCAGTGGAAAACCATGTAAAGGTTTGAGGAGGCAATGGGTAAGATCTAGTTTGCTTTTTTCTTTTTAAAGATTTATTTATGCACACAAGAACTGGGGTACAGGCCAGAGGTGCGGGGGTGAGAATTTTTTCCAGAGGCAGAGTGGGGAGCAGAGCAGGCCAACTGACTGAAATCCACAGCTGAGGGGAGCAGCGGGGAGACAGGAGGTCTGCCTTGCCGTGTGGGTCACTCCCTGGCCGGGGATTGAACTTGTGCTGCAGTGGCCGTGGATGGCTTCATGGTGCTGCGCTTTAACCGTTTGTGCCACCAGGAAGGGCGCTAGTTTGCATTTTTAAGGGGTCACTGGCTGCTTAATCCAGGATGCTCTAAGTGGGCAAGACCAAGGAGAAAGGCTGCTTGCAGGTGTGATGAGACAGGTGGCAGTGACGGCTCGCTTTTGGTTAATGGCAATAGACATGCGGAAATGTCAGATTTAGAATTTTTGCGGAAAGGGGCGGTCTGCTAGATTTTTAAAGGATCAGCTATATCTCTGAGTCAAAATAAAAATCTGTCGACAGCTGGGTTAGTAATATTAAGGATGACTTCCTCCCTTATGAAGCATTTCTAATAGTGTGTGGCGTTTGTGAGCACCTAAGAGCAGAAACGCCTAGATTTTTCAGAAATCTAAAGCATCCAGCAAAGAGTCTGGGACGCAGGTGCTCCCGTCACTCATACGTTACCTTCACATCCCCGCTGCTTGGAGGGACACAAGGCCAGGGAGTCCTGTCACTTTGAGGGACTTCTGTGGCTACCTGAGCGGTCAGGCAAGTAGCCTGAAGTAGAATCTTTAAGAACCTGAAAAGAATGTGATTCCATGAAAACTCAGCCCCGTTTGGAGGGCAGGCCTCAGCTCAGCCTCTCCACAGGAGCATTCCAGGCTTTGATTTTTCCCCCTTTGCTTTCTTACCTTGGGTTTGCTAGCAAACCTCTGTCCCGTGCCTCTGTTTTCATCTAAGATCCATGTCAAATCCTGTGCTCTCTGCGAGTGCCTGTCACGGCCTTCGCCTGGGAAGGTCGCACCTCCTCGGGCTTCTTTGGCAATTTCTGGTTTGCAACACAGTTGGCGATGAATCGATTGCCCGGTGTCGTCCCCTGTGGTCCAGAGTGCTCCCCTCACTGTCACGCAGCCTCGTACTTGCCTGTCCTGTCCACTTTATTCTCGCTTCGCTTGTCATCCGGAGCACGGGCAGTCCTGATGCCCGTCCACCTGCTGTCGTTCTGTCCTTGCTGTGACCGCTGGTCCCGGAAGCCGCCCCAGGCGTGGTGGCTTTCAGAGTGACCGGTCCAGGCTCGGCGCTGCCTAACTCACGCCCCTTTTGTCTGCTCCCCCCAGGCCCCTCACTGCGAGCATGCTTTCTGCAACGCCTGCATCACCCAGTGGTTCTCTCAGCAGCAGACATGCCCAGTGGACCGTAGCGTCGTGACGGTCGCCCATCTGCGCCCAGTACCTCGGATCATGCGGAACATGTTGTCGAAACTGCAGATCGCCTGCGACAACGCGGTGTTTGGCTGCAGTGCTGTCGTCCGGCTCGACAACCTCATGTCTCACCTCAGCGACTGTGAGCACAACCCCAAGCGGCCTGTGACCTGTGAGCAAGGCTGCGGGTGAGCGCTGTGCCCTCCTCCTTCCTCCTGCCTCCTGCCCGGCGCAGACTGTCTGGCCCCCCACCCCCCGCTCGCGCCTAGGAGCGGGGTCAGCGAGCCTGAGCCTGCACCAGGGCTGACTTCGCCTTCCCTTCCGGCCCAGGCCTGCTCTCTGGGCGCACTGACTGCGCCTCTTTCCAGCCTTCTCGTAGTTCCTCCTGCTGTTTATTATGGGCTCGGTCCCCGGCCAGGGAGAGACCCTCGGGGCGCAGCAGACCCTCCGTCTCCCCGCTGCTCCCCTCAGCAGTGGGTTTCAGTGAATCTGTCTGTTCTGCTCCCCGCTCTGTTCTGGTGACTCTTCTCACCCCCACCTCTGGCCTAGTCCCCGGTTTGTGTGAGCATTCATAAATAAATCTTTAAAAAACGAGAACGGGTAACTGCTCGGAATCTGAGGTAGGAGACCGCCTCTCGCCGCCCTGCCCCCGCCCGGCGCCCCGCTCAGTGCTCTGCCCTGTTCTCTTCCCGCCCGGCCTCAGCCTGGAGATGCCCAAAGACGAGCTGCCGAACCACAACTGCATTAAGCACCTGCGCTCCGTGGTGCAGCAGCAGCAGACGCGCATCGCCGAGCTGGAGAAGACCTCGGCCGAGCACAAACACCAGCTGGCCGAGCAGGTGAGGGCCAGGGCCAGCGTGGGGCGGGCGGCCGAGGCCCCAGCACGTGCCCTGTGAGCGGGGTCAGTGGGTCCCTGCCTGTGGCCTCCCCACCTCATGTGTCGTTACCTGGCGTCCACTCGCGCGGAGCGTCGCGCTGCGGTGGCGGAGGCAAGCCAGCGCCTGTGTCCTCGTGAAGCGTCCAGTCTGCGTGTGCTTCCGAGCTCTCCACTGTCCTCATCCCCGATAACTCCTGCCCCCTGCCGTCTGCCCGGCCGTCCTCACTCGGTCTGCTTCCCCCACAGAAGCGAGACATCCAGCTGCTGAAGGCCTACATGCGAGCGATCCGCAGCGTCAACCCCAACCTTCAGAACCTGGAGGAGACTATTGAGTACAACGAGATCCTAGAGTGAGTGTCCCTCGGGCGGGGCAGGCCACGGGGCCTTGAGGGCGGGCTGGCAGGCTTGGGCTGTGGGGAGGAGGAGAGGGAAGAGAAGAGGACAGCTGCAGGCCGTCCGAGGTCCCACTCAGTGGGCGATAGGGGCCGAGAGAAAGAGAAGAGACTGTCCGCTTCAGGCCGCCCAGAGTGCAGAGGAGAGACAGGAAGTGCAAACTCAGGGGTGTGAGCTAACAGGCAGCCAAAATAAGCACAGTCACTGCGAGTCTGAGGCCCTTTCAGCCCTGGAGTCCTGTGTCGCTCACGGGCCAACCTGTGAGTACGAATGGTCCATAAAGGACACGGAGCCCCGAGGGCCACGGGGTAGAAGAATTGGTTCAATAAAAGTTCTCTTATTAAAGCCGGAGCACGTACTGTGTGCCAGGTATTACTTGGGCCCAGTATTTGGATTCTCAAGAAAAATAAGAAGGCCCTGCCCTCTTGGAATTTAATGTGGCAGTGGGAGCTGGAGAAAGATTTGGGCGGGCGCGTCCTAGCGGGAGAAACAGCGGCTAGAGAGGCGGTGAGCTGGGGTGACCACCTCCCTCCACACAGGTGGGTGAACTCCCTGCAGCCTGCCAGAGTGACCCGCTGGGGAGGGATGATCTCCACCCCGGATGCCGTGCTCCAGGCCGTCATCAGGCGCTCGCTGGTGGAGAGCGGCTGTCCAGCCTCCATCGTCAGCGAGCTCATCGAGAACGCGCACGAGCGCAGCTGGCCCCAGGGGCTGGCCACGCTGGAGACGAGACAGATGAACCGGCGCTACTACGAGAACTACGTGGCCAAGCGCATCCCCGGCAAGCAGGCCGTGGTGGTGATGGCCTGCGAGAACCAGCACATGGGCGACGACATGGTGCAGGAGCCGGGGCTTGTGATGATATTCGCGCACGGCGTGGAAGAGATCTAGGCCGCGAGTGCTGTCGGGAGGACGGAGGACGGAAGGGCCCCCCGCGGCTGCTGGATGCCGAGTCCCGTCACCCCAGTACTGTGGTTTCCACCTGAGCCACACCCTCCCTGCTCCCCTGGCACCGAGGGGCCCAGGACACCCCGCGCAGCGGCGGGCGGAAGCCTGGCTCCCCCTCTGCCTGATTTCTTCCCCTAAGATGTCTGTCATTTTCAGTCTGGATGGGCAAGTCCCCACCTCTGTCTGTTGTCCCGCCTGGAGTTCCTGGTTCCGAAAGCACAACGACGCTAGTTTTCTCCAGGATCTGGACGGAATGGGGAGTCTCTAACTGCCCCTCCTCCGACGCCAGGGGGTCAGAGCAGACAGGCCTGGCGCCTCTGTCAGTGGCGTTAGAGGCTAGTCCTGGGCAGCAGAAACTGAGGCATGATAGGGGTTCCCCAGAAATAGTGAGGCCAGCAGCTGGCCGTCACGGATGGCCCTTGGGGGAAGACTGGACCTCTGTGCCAAGCATTGTCCTGTCGGCAGCCCTGAAAGGAACGGCCCTGGCCGGGTCTGCAGGGTGCAGGTTGGGACGTGGCAGTTCCCGGACGAGCTCTCCTTAGGATTTTCTCCCACGTGGGGATGGGGGCGGGGCTGGGGTTCAGGCCCCTGGGGTTGATGTGCTCAGCATGGAGCGGCTCAGCTTTTCTGCTGAAATCGGGCTGGGCTGGCGCTGCTGTTTGGGCGAGAAGTGCAACCCCCAGGCCCTCCCAGCCCGGGCCTGTAGGTAGGTGCCATCATTCCCTCGGCCATTGTTGTTTAGACTTCACTCCCCTCCCTCCCCTCTTTTTTTGTAGAGTGGCCTGGTTATGGCTACTTTTCCAGCCCGGCCACGTTGTTGGCAATTTAATTTATTTACTTTTTTTTTAAGAAAGGAAAAAGAAAAAAATATTAACAAAACTTGAATCTTACCGTCTACTGTTCTACTGTTCTATTGTGTGGATTGGGGGGGGGGCCCCGGGTGGCGTCGCTGCCATGTTTTTCCTTTTCGATACAGCCTTTGGCTCTAACGTGAGACAGGCCAAGGGCGTCTCAGCCGAATGCATTGTCTGCTCCAGCCCTCCGTGACCCGCCTGAGGTGCGGTGCTCTGAGCGCTCGCTGACAGAAGAGAGAGCGTCAGCACCACGCCCCCCGGGGGCCTCTGCTCCCAGCTCTCCAGGGTCCCGTCGGAAACCCTGGGTTTAGACTAGTTTCGAAGGCAACACCGCCATCCCCCCATTTCTGAGAGACAGGTGCTGGCACAGAAGCACGCCGCCGCTTCGGCGGGGCCTCACCGAGCCCCTGAGGACTCCAGCTCCCTTTCAGCCTACCTGAGACGTTCCTGGGCCCTGGGGGTGGCAGAGTGAGGGGGACGGGGTGATTGTATCAGTGGGCAGGTGGAAGTGGGTGGGGGGGCGATCGTCCTGTGGCAGCTTTTCTTTCTGGACTTCTCCACGCCAGCGTTTGGAGGCTTGGGGAGTTGGGGCCTCGCCTCACGGGGCTTGGGGAGACTGCAGCTTGAGGGGAGTGGGGTCAGCCTTGTGCCAGCGCCAGGACACTGCTCAGGAATTTGACCAGGCTGCTGTATTTAGTGTGATGACTACTTGTCATCGGCTCCCCTCCAGCCCGGCGGCCTCGCCAGCCCATGCCCTCCTGCTGGCCCTTCGGGGGGTGGACGTGCGATGCCGTTGCCTGCCCTGCGCCTGCGGGCCGCTGGCTGCGATGCGCTGCTCCCTGCTACTCACTGCTCTAATAAACCTTTTGCTCAACTCTAAATTCCTCATTCAGCATCACTGCCGCCCTTGAAGGCCCTCCGCCTGCCCTTCCTCGTTCTAACTCCCGCTACTCCCCTCTCCGACATCTTGTTGGAAGCGAGGGGCTGCCCTCGCTGCTCTCCTCCTCCCCTCCCAAGGCTGCTGCCACACTTTTTCTGTGGTGGGCCTGTACCCTGACGCCTCTGCCTTGCCTGAGGGCTGCTGGGGCTGCGGGCCACTTCAGAAGCGACAGGCACTCTGCCCTGGCAGCCCCTGCTGTGGCGTCTCAGGTTCTAGCACAGGCAGGGAAGCCTCCGACCCCCCCGTCTCCCAGTGAGAAAGTAAACAGTAAGCGTGGGGAAGGTGAGCTGAGTGACTACCTGCCTCCAAACCTCGTAAGCCCTTTTGGAAGCATATGCCACCACCTCCTCTGGCTCACAAAAAGTTTTCTAGCCTATACGATATATTTTTTTACTCTCTTAAAAAAGATTCATTTATGCACCCACGAACTGCGGTACAGGCCCGAGGTGTGGAGGCTGAGAAGATTCACCAGACACAGTGGGGAGCAGCACAGGTGGATCTACTGAGACACTGCTGAGGGGAGCAGCGGGGAGACAGGAGGTCTGCTGCGCCCTGGGGGTCCCTCCCTGGCCTGGGATCGAACTGGTGCTGTAGCCAGCTTCATAGTGCTGTATTCTAACCTCTGCGCCACTGGGGAGGGCCCATATGGTTTAAGCTTGTGCATTTAGTGTAAATCTGATGGTGCGCTAGATACTCCAGGAGTGAGCAGGGCACATCCTGTGCCGCTCAGTCTTTGCCAGGCACATGTCGGTGGCGACAGGCGTGAACGCTTCAGTGGTCAGGAGTAATGCTTTGTATTCTGAAGCGCCCTCAAAATGCCTTTCAGAACTTGCTGCTCATTCTTTCATGGTCATAAGCAGTTCCTGATCTTTTTAGGGCATATTTGGTTTTTGGAAACTATTGAATATTTTACAAGGTTCTTGCTGGAAAGAGAATGAGATGGGGGCGGGGGTTAATGTCGCACAATGGTACCTGCCTTCGAAGAGTTGAACACCCTACCCTGATGGAAATGAATACATCATAAGACTTGCTGAGGGCCTCCTGGTGGCACAGGGGTTCAAGCACAGGGCTATGAAGCTGTCCGATTCCGGCCAGGGAGGGACCTCCTTGGCGCAGCAGACCCCTCCTACCTCCCCTCAGCAGTGGATTTCAGTCCATCTGCCTGTTCTGCTCCCCACTGTGTCTCTCACCCCCGCACCTCCGGCCTGTACCCCAGTTCTTGCATGCATAAGTAAAAAATAAATCTTAAAAAAAAAAAAGAATGGAAGTGGTCAGTCGGCTATGAGCAAAGGGAGCTGTGAAGTCCTGATTCTGATAGTTATCAGGAAAGATTTTCCTAAAGTATTTATTTGTTCTAGGTCAGAGGTTGGCAAATGAGATCTGAGGCTCTGCCTGCTGATGTACAAGCTTCGCTGGCACACAGTAGGACATTTGTTTTATCTACAGCTGCTTTTAGATGAGACAGTGAAGTTGAGTGGTTACTGCAGAACTGGCCCAGCAAGCCCCCACCAGGAGCAGGCCGAGGAGTGTAGTGAGGGTTAGTTGTCAGTTTCTGCTTTTTATATGCATTTGATAAAACATTTTTATAATTGCCAAAATAAAACATTTAATAATGCATCCTTTACTAAGGAAACTTACATTCACAATTCCCCAAATGTCCCAAGAAAAGTTCTGGAGCTAATTTTGGCCCCACCCCAGTTCCAGTGCCGAAACCACCTTGCCTGCGCCAGCGTTCTCGCTGAGTCTCTGGGACAAGCTTTTTTTTTTTTTGTAACATGTGAAGCGTTTGGGCCGGTTGTCACAGTGACCTTTTGGATTTGACTGCTTCTTCCTGGTGTCCATGAACTTGTCTCTGTAGTTCAGTTTTTACTAAACAGAGCTAGTCTGGAGAGATTCAAGCCCAGCAGTTCTGGAGTAGATAATCACAGGCAAGGTGTTCCTTACGTTGTATCACGTCAGGAGAGTCCCAGGCCCATCGCGAGCCCAGTTCCTCGTTGTCTGGGTCTGTGTTGAGAGACTGTTCCAAACCGCCCAGTGACGACGGCATGCCCTGAGAGGGCTGCCTGCCAGAGTGTCTTTCTAATTGGCTGCTGTTACACAAGAACAGGCCTCATACTGCCAAACCTTAACTATTTTTCAAGAAATTTGGGGCATCCTAAAGTATTTGCTGAACCTCAAAACCTTTAAATATTGGCTCAACTTTTAACTGGCCCAAATGTTTGTGGTGGTAAAGTGAAAAATCTAGACCGTTGATCACTTTACAGCCTGCTTGAGGTTGAGCGTATACCTGCATGAAAACAAATGGAGGTGAGGGCTGTGTTGAAGAAGGGAGAATCTCCTGAGATCTGGAGCAGGGTTCATTGAAGGAGCAATGGAAGAAAAGACCAGAAGTCCTTTGGGGCCAACTGGAAGGTCTTGAATACAAGATGGGGCATTTTGCCATTAATTTTACAGGTAAGTTTTTAAGAATAAGAATGACTTGACTCATAGTTGGTGGTCATGGGAAGACAATGGAAAATGGGCTTAACAGTAATTCATACAAGAGAGAATCAGGACTTGAAATTGAGTGGGAAAGATGGGACAGTGGGAGAGAAAACTCAGCCAATGTTACTGGCATCCTTGCAGTCAGATGTGATGCTGGACAGTTGAGACACAAATCACTAATGCTTTGCTTTCGGGGACAAACTGCAGAGATCCAAGCCTCTTAAAATGTGTAAAAAGTCACCAGCTTGGAAGTAGATTGTGCCAGACCCCTCCTATATTAGCTTTTATAGTCACAAGAGCAATTTTGACTAAGATCTAGAAGGTGTATCTTGAAAAGATGGGTCAGTATAGGTGGCATTAGCTAGTTGTTATAAGGTGAAGACATGGATGGAACTAAGGCAGGACTTAGACTGCACACGGAGACACCCAGTCTAATTAAACTGGAAGAGTCAAGGCTAAAAAAAAAATGGGTGTCAGGAAGGGTGTGTTGATAACAGGTGCACATGTGTCTGTCCACATGTGGAACTGAACGTTCCTGTCTCGGGGAACGGTATGATGGAAGCGGTGTTCTACAGGAGGGCGTGAAACTGGGGCAGCCAGAACACCATTGTGACACAGGCATGGGTTAAGGTGCTACGATGGTGGGAATGTGCCCCTAAGTCGGCTTCCAGAAAAATGACTTACTACTTTTTTTTTTAAAAAAGATTTATTTATGCACACAAGAGCTGGGGTACACGGCAGAGGGGGGGGGTGAACGGAGTCACCAGAGACAGAGTGGGGAGCAGAACTGGTGATGGACAAAGTCCACTGCTGAGGGCCGCAGCAGGAGACAGGAGAGATCTGCTGCGCCATGAGGGTCCCTCCCTGGCCGGGGATGGAACTCACACTGCAGTGGCTGGAGAGCTCCACAGGACTGCCTTTTAAGTTGGCCTACCAAGGAGGGCCCTGGAGAAGGCATAGTCTAAGAGAATGTTGTCTCTGAAGCCCAGTGAGAAACCCATGGTTTTAAATATAGCCAAGGCTTTGATGACAGTGTTGTCTTTAGTATGGGTTTGGGATAGCGAGTGTATTTTATTGGGAAAATGTTTAAAACAACAGGTGATTTGGAGCATCAAGTGTAAGTGTTGTGTTCTGAGTCATTGAAGGATTGATCCAACAGAGGAAGAAAAGTGAGGTTGTGATATTTACAGGCAGCCCCGGGAGGTTGAGATGCCAGCCCCGGTGGCCGAGGTCTGAGCCAGAAGCTAACGACTGACAGCGGGGTCAACACGTGAAGTGAGAGGGGGGCCGGACCGTGCGATGCAAAGAAAGGACAGAAAGATGGGATGTTGGAAGGGAAGGGACAGGGGCTAAGGACCGAGGACTCGGGAAGGGGGGGCGCGGGCAGTCAAAATGGGAACCTACTACACGCAGAGTTGGAGAGTCTTGGTCTCCACCCTGGGAAGTTAAGGGCAGCATCTGAAAGCAAAAGGTCCATCTTCAAGGCCAGCGAGCTCGGCGTTCCCCTTCTCCAGCCTGCGCCTCCATTTTGTAAGCCGTGGCCGGGCCTCCCTCCCACAGCAGCCGGTTGCCCTCTGCTGGCCATTTGGGTCTAGGCGCTCGGGATATGTAAGCCTGAGCCTAGGAGACAGGAGCAGTTCCAGGCCTGGAAGGTTCTTTCCTTCTTTCGGTAGGTATTTACTTGATCACATCTATGTAGAGCCTAGTAGAGATGCAGAAGAATGCACCGTCCTGACTCAAGCAGCCAATAGTCCGGTCTGAGTGAAGACTGAGTATGCATATATAACGACCATAAAAACCATCTCATTACATAACACTTTTTTTTTTTTTAAATTGACAGTCTTATGTGTGCTAGTAGCTCATATTCTATGGGCGAAGGAAGACACCACATAATAAGGGGGTGCGGTGTAGTGGCAATGGGTAGCTGGAGACTTCTCAGGAAAACCCACATTTTAAGAGGAGTCTGAGTAGAAAGTGCAGATGAGAAAGGCTAGTTTTGGGCAGAGAACACCATGAACATGGACAAACACTATCCCAGGAAGTGAATGACAGTGGATGGGGAGTGGGGAGGGGGGTGCTGGAAGAGAAGCAGCCAGGTGATGAAACACAGGAAGCAGCCACCGAGGGGTTTCCGGTCTCACACCCCTGCTTTCGAAAGGAAGGCTGCAGCCATGGGGTCCGCCACTGGGGTCCAGCCTGCAATCACCCCTGAGGAGTGTGAACATATTTGAGACATGTTTAGGAGGAAGAATACATAGAACATCTCTATTTTCATTTTTACAGAGGCGTATCAAAGGATGCCTCCCATGCCGCAAGCCAGTGGGTGGTGGTGGACGGATGCGTTCAGCTGGCGTGGGTCAAGAGCCTGAAAGAGGAGGAGACGAAGGAAGCGAAAGGTGGAAAGTGATGCCAGTGGGGGCGTCACTTGGGAAGAAGGCAGGGGTAAGATGCTCTTGGAAGGAACAGCAGGAACAGTAGTCTGTAGTGGCAGAGTGTTACAAATGGTTGCCCTTAAACCTGACCCCGGGGACCTTCTTGGAGAAGATGCTGCTTTACAAGAAATGAAATACAAAAAAAAAGAGCCTCCCTACAACTCTGTGGGATATTTCCCCACAACCCGAAACTGGGGAATTAAAAAAACCTGGCTGAGGTGGAATGCAGGAGAGTTGGAAGTCTTAGATGACCTTCCTAGCTTGGTTAATCCGTAGAAAATTTAGAACCGTACCTGGCACAAGCTGGACAGAGGCTAGTTATCTGCAGCGCGGGGGTCTCAGTGGGTGACCCCCTCATAGCCTTGATACACCTGAAGGGAACCCAACAAGAACGCCCCCTTTCCTGAGTTCCTGAGTCTTCCTTGCAGTCCGACAAGACGTGACTTCCGGTCATGCAATCCAGAGGTGCCCTTCTTCCCTGGGCAGTCTGGCGTGGACTATTGCACAACAGCCACACGCATTCCCAAACAACACTTGCCCATTCAGCCACTAAATCATTTGCTCTTCCCTCCGCAAGGAAGGGGACCGCGTGTGCCCAAACACTGCCAGAGTGGTGTCTGCTCTGCTAGCAAACCTGAAATGCTAGAAATCCCGAGTGCAGCCACTGCCACCTGCACCATCGAGCTTCCCGGGCCCCAACAGAATCCAGGTCGTCTGTGTCGAGAGGGAAGCGCAGGAAGGACTCGCCGGAGGACGGGGCTTCTTTACAACTCTAGAAGGAAAAAAAGAGAGAGAGAGAGAGAAAAAAAAGCAGCAGTCGTCACGAACAGGATTCGAACCTGTGCGGGGAAACCCCATTGGATTTCGAGTCCAACGCCTTAACCACTCGGCCACCGTGACTTCCAAAACCGCCCTCCGCCGCGCGCTTACAGGAAGGGTCCGCGCCGCGACCCGCGGGGTGCCACCGCGCGGGGTGCCCCGCCAGTCACCCCTCCCGGCCCCTGCCCCTCTCCTTACCGCGCCTCTCACCAAAGGGAAAGAGTCCAGCGGCCGGGGTGACCGGGGCGGGAGGGTCCCCGCACAGCGGAGAGCGGGGAGTCGGGAGCACAAAAGCGCACGGGCGATGGCGCGGGCGGCCGAGGAGGCAGCGGGAGGGAGGGACCCGGGGTGGCGGCGGGGGCGCTTCGTGGCGAGGTAAGGGGGCCGGGGCCGGGTCCCTTCGTGAGGGGTGTCAGGGGCTTAGTGTAAACGGGGGTTTCCTGGAATGACGGAAAGAACTTTTGGGGAGCCATCCAAGGTTCCTGGGGACCAGGGGCTCCGCGGGGCTGGGCTCTGCTACGGGCCGGGGCGCCTGAGGCGACGGGCCCCCTCGGGGGCGGACGTCGGGGCCCCGCGCGCCGG